TTTGGAGCGAGGGCAGATAGGAGTGATAGAGGAAAGGATGTAGAGAAGGATAGTGAATAGATCAAAGCAACTGGAGATGTCGATTGACATTACATTTGAATAGTTGGAGATTAAAACTATCAGGGAGACAGGAGTAGGGAAGGGAGTTCTACAGGCGAGAGGTGCGAGACATGAAGCTATTGGAGTAGAAGAGGCGATTACATTTAACAGTTTCAACAGTGAAAGGGGTGAGAGCGGGATGCCAGCCTCGTAGGAACCAGTGAAAGCAGCTCATCGGAGCAATTACCATGAAAGTATTTGTAAAAAAAAGACAGAGAGAGACGACGGCACATTTGTGAGAGAGCGACTGCAGACGAGATGCCAGATCAGGGCCAATTATATTGTATATCCATCTCTGGATCTTCTCAAGAACCCCGAGGCGGAGAGAAACTTCAAATAAAAACCAGTTGGCAAAAAAAAAAAAAAAAGTAAAAAAAATTCCCACAAAAGATGGAAAAAAAAGTAAAAAAAAAATCAATCAGTCAAATTCACAAAAATATGATGGGAAAAAAAAGACCCTCAGGCTTCACTCACTCAAATCCTTTTTTTTTTTTCACTATTGATCTTAGGAAGTGGTATTAAAAAATTGCCGACTCTCTGAAACCAAGATCACGTTGGTATTACTACACATCCTCCTTCCCTAGGACAATGAGGGAGGTGCTGCCACAGTTAATGGATCCCCAAGATTAGACATTTCTTTTACCTATGCTCTCTTCTCAGACAAAGACACAAATAAGAAATAAAGAGAACGACAAAAAGGCGGGGGGCGGAGGGAAAAAAGAAAAAAAAGAGTCAACCAATCAAATGATGAAAAATTTAAAAAAAGGGCAGTTTTTCCTCATGACACAACTTTTATTTACTTTCACTCCTTGGTAATGTTTCTTGTTTTAAGAAGTGATAAATAATTATACATTTTCTTTCTTCTTCTGAATTAACAACAAAAATAATAAACATTAGTCATTATATTGTTTATTTACAATACTAATTATATTATTTATTGGAATGGTTGGCGAAATATAAGCAAATTGCGGATCGATTCACACTTTATAAAATCGGAAATAATAAGGATTTTCTTTTAACTGAGTCATATATTTTAATAATGATAAAAAAATAATTCCAATCAATTTAAATTCGGTTTGAAGTACGAAGTATTTTCGAAATATTAAATGTAATCTTGGAATTAAAACTAAAATAAAATCAAGAAAGATTTTTCATTTTTAAAATGCATTTTAGGTATCGCTTTTTTTTTTCTGGGAGGGAAGAAGCCTAACTTAAAGTATTTATATTCTAAACCAAATTTTTATTAATTAAATTTTAAAAAAAAACAGAGAGAGAGAAAAAAAACGAAGTACTTCAAAATTTAGAAAACTATATGTTAATTTTGATTTTACATTCTTTGAAAAGATCTGTCGCTCTTTTCGTATTATACAAAAAATAATAATTTTAGAGGAATTCAAATTTTGCTGTAAAATGTTTTTCACGGCTAAAAAATAATCTGTTGTGGTAATTTAAAAAAAAAAATTAGATCTTTAAAATAAGGGGAATAACTATTGATCTCAGTTGTCTCCCCTAGAATAACTAATGCGCCGAAGTTATCTCCCTTTTAATGTTTTCTATATTTTTTTTTTAATATTTAAACTGAGGAATTTTTCATATTAAGAATATAAAAAATTGTAAAATGTGTGCAGTCTTTAAATTATTTACATTATTTGGACTGTTATCCTAATCTTCACTGACATATATACAACATTTCAACTGTTGTATGCTCCGGCAGAAACATTGTGAATATGGCAATGAAGATGAGGATAACAGTCTAAATAATTTAAGTAATCATCATACCTCATCTCAGAGATATAGAGAGATAGTGTATGAACTTATGGGTTTTGTTTTTTTGTTGTTTTTTGGGGGGGGTTGTATTTTTTTTTTTTTTACAAAAATGATCAGTGTAAAATATGAAGCCATTTCTGACCTTCAATCTTTGTTTGGAACCCAGAAGAAAATGTGTATACAACAGAAATCCAAGAAAATAATCCTGGTAACTGTTTTATATTTAATTGTGTGTTAACAAAGAACTTTACTTCTTATGAAGCAGGATATGTGGTTGGAGAAATGGATATCAATTCAAAATTAGAAATCGGAGAGCCAAGTTAAAATTCATTACATTCACATATGCACAAATACTTTAGGTAAAGATAGCAATCAATCTATTCTCCCTCCAGCTATGGGTTAAATAGTAGGATATTTATCAAAAAAAAAATCATTGTTATTTTCTAAAAATTATTAATGCAATAATTATGGGTAAAAAGAAAGTTGTAATTACAATTTAAAATATGTTTCAGCTTCAAATGAAAAAGGTGTGTGGTTGAAGAGAAAAATTAAAAAAAAAAATGTACTGCCCAGTTCAGGGATTGAGCTCACAACCATCTGAAGATTTCTGCTTTAATGTAGATGTCACATCTGTTGAGTGCACTAAGATCACCCAGTGGAGGTTGATAAATTCCAAAGCTTTTTCTCTTTCTAATCAGATCTTCATGAAATGGACACCTCAACACGGTGTAATGGTTACTAAGCTTTTCTCGCTAGAACAATTATGACTGAGTATCGAGTTTGATCCTCACTGTGTGTCCCATACTTTCAGCCTTGTGCCACATCTAAGCTGTGCTTAGAAAATCTTTTGAAGATTGATGAAGTCTGTCCCAGAATACAGTAAATTTAGTTAATGTTTATAAATTTAGGAATAAAAAATTGTTTTCATATTTCTTTCTTTATAAATTGGTAAATGATAAATATTGTATGGCATTAGTTTTAATTGTATTAGTTATTAGAATGCAGTAAATATAAATTGTTCATATAAACAAACAATTTAATAAATAAATAGTGTTTAATATTTTTGTTGTAAATTCTTAAGAACAAAAATAAATGTATAAATTCACTTTCATCATGTATTTAGATTTTATTTCAATTCTAAACATCACTTTTTCAAAATAATAAAAATTGCCAAAGAGTGAAGGTATTAAAAAAAGAGCTATCATGTGAAAAACTGTCCTATTTACACACTGTCTTATTATGGGCATGTTTACCGAAAATAATTCATCAACCCCAAGGCTAGTTGATTTTGAACTCTGTCAAGGGTGGAGAATGAGGTCTGGGCAACACAAGGTCAGTTATTTAAACACTATTACATTGCTTATTGGAATGGTTGGCAAAACATTAGCTAATTGTCAATCGATCTGAACTTTATAAAATGGCAAATAATAAGGATTTCCTTATAGTTGGTTCACATATTTTAATAATTTAGTAAATGTTTATGACTTTATGAATAAAAAATTAGTTTTATATTTATTTCTTTATAAATTGGTAAATGATAAATATTGGATTGCATTAGTTTTAATTGTATTAGTTCTTAAAATGTTGTAAATATAAAATTACTAGCAGTAGAGCCCGGCGTTGCCCGGGGAAGTAACAGTAAGAGATAGATCAAGTATCGACCATCATAAAGACTGAAAAATAAAATTGATAAAGATTATTGTTTAAGGTTGACAAACACGCATGTCTTAATTAGTTTGTTTTTGTTTATTTTTTACGAATTGGTCAAACCCAAACTCAAACAAAAACATTGTTTTCAATCGTTATGAGTCTACTGATTGAATAGAATTTTATTATAAACAATTGTCTTGTAAATGGAATTTTAAAGCATTCTGAATGTAAAAATAAAGAAAAAAAGTGCAAGACAATAAGAAACACTACCTGCCAAAAAAAAGTGAAGTTTTGTTGAAATCGGATCCCATATATAAACGAACACACACACACACACACACAAACAACATGGGTTTTATAATAAGTATAACTCGATATGAGTTGTCCTCCTTCCATTCTCGCGATGCCTCTTAATCGTGTTTTCAAATTGATTTTGTGCAAAACAATTGTGTTTTTCCAAATTTTGGCGCTATCAGAACCACACAAGAAGGTAATTTTACGTAGTCCTGTGAAGTTTTGTTGAAATCGGTTGAAAAATGTAGGAAATCCGATCCAATATATAAACGTATAGACACACACACACACAACCTGTGTTTTATAATAAGTATGATTCTTGTAAATAAACAATCTAATAAATAGTGTTTAATATTTTTGTTGTAAATTCTCAAGAACAAAAACAAAATATATGAATTTACTTTCATCATATGTTTTGGTTTTATTACAATTCTAATAATCACTTTTTAACAACAAACATTACCGAGGAGTGAAGGTAGTTAAAATAATAGTGGCATCAAGGGAAAAACTGTCCTTTATTACTTCATTATTTTACAGGTTTTTTTTTTCAAATGTACTGCTGGTAATTTTTTTTTTTCAAAAATGTATCGCTTGTAATTTCTTTTTTCAAAAAAGTATAGCTGGCAATATCTTTTTTTCAAAACTGTATTGCTGGTAATCATTTTTTACAAAGTATTTCTGGTATTAAAACCTATTTTTACACTTTCATAGTGTTTTAACCCCATTTGGTGGGGTTAACTATTTGCCCATAGCTGGGACCCTAACAGGTGCTACCACCCCAGATCAGGGTGGACCTGGGAACACCAGCAATAAAGAGGTGGTTCCATGCTCCTCAAAACCTTCTGATCAGAGCTCTTGCTGTTGGGTGTACTTTATCGTCTTACCCAGGACACAGATGTAGTTTAATTGTCATACCCAGGACGGAATATCAGAATAAAGAGAAAAAAATTATTAGAATATTTGCCTCTTTGTACATAGATGAGGAAAAGATATGTTTGTTCTCTTGGGTTGTAGAAAACCATGTCCATTTGAAATCATTTTTATGGCACCATGTGTATTTAAATTGTATACGTATATATTCTAATAATGGATGTATATTAAAATGGATAATATGAAATTTCAGCATCTTGCTATCAGCAATATGGCTGGTACCAAAGTACTAATGGGAGAAATGACTCTTTTTCTTTCAGAATGTGGACCAGGCTTCTTTGGTCGTGACTGTCTTCTCACATGCAGCAATTGTATGAATGGGGGTAAATGCAACATTAATGGCGATGGATGCATTTGTGCACCTGGATACCATGGACTACTGTGCAACAACACATGCCCCACTGTGAGTTATCAAGTTTTTACATACATCAAAGGTTTTCTGTGTGTATACATGCACATATATATATATATATATATATATATATATATATATATATATAGATGTGAGTTTGTGACACTGGGTTTTTACGCTTTAGCGATCCTCAGACAATCTGAAAATTGCTAAAGCGTGAAACCCAGGGTCACAAACTCACATCTATCCAACCATATATGTTAGCTCTCTCTCTCTATATATATATATTTTAAGACATTTTTATGTTTATACATTCTTTTTTATAGATAAAAATATTTGATTAAATGCTCTGTTTTATAATAAACAGTATTAACAACATTTACCGGCCTGAATGTCCAAGAAATTGTCATAGAAAATATGCATCCTCCGACAGGAATTGAACCTGTATCCTATACGGAACTGTCATATGTGCTTGTACCAATTTAGCCACAGAGGAGCATTTGGTTAGCAAGGTCGATTTTACTGTTTTTAAACTACAATCTTCCATGAATCTCTCACGTACATTCATATCTGCTCAAAGCGTATCCAAATGTAAACAAATGACGGCACACATTATGAAATGGACAAAGTCCGACAATTATTTTAAGACATTTTTATGTTTATACATTCTTTTTATAGATAGAAATATTTAACTAAATACACTGTTTATAACAAACAGTATTAAAACAACATTTACTGGCCTGAATTATAAACAGACCCTTTACTTAAATATTTGTATCTATTAAAAAGAATGTATAAACATAAAAATGTCTTAAAAAATAATTGTCGGACTTTGTCCATTTCATAATATATATATATATATATATTATTTGATTATCACTCAAAATTTCATAACTGATTTAATTAACCTGTCAGATCCTCATATGTTGAAACTGACGGGAGAGTCCATTATTATTATTATGATATATATACGTTGAAAAAATTTATATATATATATATTTTTCTAAGAGGATAAAATCGAGGTAGGGCTTTATGTACAGTACAGCACAAGAATATAATATAAAAGGCTCAAACACTAATATTCCCTGGTTATAATTTATTACATTGGAATTGTAATCACGTTCCAATTCATTGTAGGTCTTATGAATTGGATCGTGATTGTGATTCCAATGTAATAAATTATAACCATAGAATATTGGTGTTTTATATATATATATATATATATATATATATATATATATATATATATATATATATATACACACACATGCACACACCCATATATATATATATATATATATATATATTACTTATGCACATTACTTATTGGAAAGTGCATGATATCTGTGATAGAGCTAACATATTCAGTTGTACAGATATATATATATATATATATATATATATATATATATATATATATATATATATTTTTATATATTATTGGAAAGTGCTTAATATCAGTGATAGAGATAACATATTTAGTTGTATTGATGTGAGTTTGTGACCCTGGGTTTCACGCCCTTGCAATTGTCAGACAATCTCTCTCTCTCTCTCTCTATATATATATATATATATATACATATATTCAAGCATGTTTGGTTTAATAATCTGGATGTATTATGTCTATTTATTTTTATTTTAATCATGTCGAGTTCTCAGATATTAAATCATTAAGGAAAGAACCATAGTTTTTTCATTTCTTTAATTTCCCCAAGTACTTTCAATCTCATTCAAGATCATCTTCAGGAGGGAATCGCTAAAACAGAAATTAATGTAATTGATAGTTGCGAATTATTTTGTGAATGCACATGAACACACTCCGTTATAATTAATTTAAAAAATATATTAATGCTATTATGTTTATTTAAAGGAGGTAAGTTTAATTTATATGATTGTAATAACCAAACATACTTGAATGAATATATGCTGCCTAAATATATATATATATATATATATATATATATTGTTAAATATACAGGCAATGAATGTCTGTTATGTTTGATCATGAGCAGTTCGAAACATTGTATTGCTGATTACATTTTGGTGAAAATAAAGACAGTTAGCCACCCTTACATTACTGCGATTTCTGCAGCTGCTTGTTTCTGACATGCCCATTTTTTACACCTTTTTTTTTACCAGGGTACTTATGGTCTTGGGTGCAACAGTTTGTGCACCTGTCAGAATGGTGGTACGTGCAATCCTGTCAATGGAGAATGCCAATGTCCTCCTGGTATCAAGGGAAGAAACTGTGAAGATGGCTGTCCACCTGGTTACTATGGCAAGTACTGCAACAAAACATGCCCCCAGACCTGCAGTGAGGGATACTGCAATCGTATGTTTGGAAACTGTGAATGCAGACCAGGACTGTTCGGACCATCTTGCAATCTGAAATGTCCCGAGTTCTCTTTTGGTCTTAACTGTGCCCAGAAATGTCAATGCAATGAAGAATTCTCAACAGGTTGTAATCCAGAAGTAAGTATTGGATACAAAGACTAAACATTTTTTTTACATTATTTACATTATTCGGACTATTGTCCTCATCTTTGTCGCCATATTTATCACAATGTTTCATCCATTGTACGCTCCAGCCTTCTTCAGGTGGTTGGAATGTCGAACTGAACCCTTTATTTCACTCACTGGGGTAGACTGTTCTAGTTCCATGTGCCATGTTTGATGGATGTCAGTTATCAGTTATCTCCTGCTAATTTCCCTCTGAAAGTTCTCCACTGCCTTAACCGGGTATTGAACTCACACTCTTTGGGTCCTGTCACTGGATCCTCAAGGACACATGGCAGAGTGGATAAAGGCATTGGTTAGATCCAATTCCAACCACCTGAAGAAGGCCAGAGCGTACAACGGCCGAAACATTGTGATAAATATGGCGACAAAGATGAGGACAATAGTCCGAATAATGTAAATAATGTACATAATACCTCATCTCAGAAATATAGACATTTCTTTTACTGATACTACAAATACAGGGATGGCCAAAAGTAAGCTTATACCTGTAGAGGTTTGGCAAAATATGTCCAAATGCTATGTGTTGGGGAGTTGAAAGAGAGTTCAGTAGTTAGTCAACGGTGGAAATAACATGTTCCCAGTGGGGACGTCTTCATCCAAGTATGGTTACATCTTGAAGCAAGCAGGAGAAAGAAAGGAAGAGGATGATAATGTTTGTCTTTTTATAAAAATTAAACAGCATCACCTAATGGGTGCTTAGTGAAGTCAACTGGAGGTAATAACATTTCCTGTTCTTTTATTACTGTCATTTTTGGAAAATGTATTTCTTTTAATTTTATTATTATTATTATTAATTATTATTATTATTATTATTTTATTTACTTTGATTTCTGGTGTGAACACATTTTGTTCTGGGTCCTGCCCAGAGACCTAAGGTTAGAAATGGCATTATGAAAAAAAAAAAAAAAACATACATTTTATAAAGATACAGCCCTTTGTAAGGTGTGGGCTATACTCGTGAGAACAATATTTTTGTTTTTCTTTAAGGCATGGGTTTCCAGGAATCCCTTCAATTAATCAACTGGAATCTTTACCAAGCAAACTGAGGGCTCCAACTACAACAGGGATTATTGATGTTTTCATGTACCACATTTTTTAGATTTCAAGTTGCTTGTATTTTGATAGCTTTTTGAAGATCTTCAAAGATACATTGCAGTCCGCAGGGACTGCCATATCAATAAGGAGGCATTATTTTTTTTTTGTTTGCGGTCTCTAATAACAATGTCTGGGGGATTAGCTTTGATTATTATTATTATTATTATTATTGATCGTATTTCATTTTCTCACAAGCAATAACTGAGCAGTAATAAATAAAAACAGTAATAAATAAGAGCAGTAATAAATAAGTAATAAATAAGCAGTAATAAATAAGCTGTAATAAATAAGTAATAAATAAGCAGTAATAAATAAGCAGTAATAAATAAGCAGTAATAAATAAGTAATAAATAAGCAGTAATAAATAAGCAGTAATAAATAAGTAATAAATAAGCAGTAATAAATAAGTAATAAATAAGCAGTAATAAATAAGTAATAAATAAGCAGTAATAAATAAGCAGTAATAAATAAGTAATAAATAAGCAGTAATAAATAAGCAGTAATAAATAAGTAATAAATAAGCAGTAATAAATAAGCAGTAATAAATAAGTAATAAATAAGCAGTAATAAATAAGCAGTAATAAATAAGTAATAAATAAGCAGTAATAAATAAGCAGTAATAAATAAGCTGTAATAAATAAGTAATAAATAAGCAGTAATAAATAAGCAGTAATAAATAAGTAATAAATAAGCAGTAATAAATAAGCAGTAATAAATAAATAAGCAATAACTGAGCAGTAATAAATAAGAATAAAATTAGATATCCCTAGAAATAGATAAATGAAATGAGAACAACCTGCCCTCATAAATTAAATAAAGTGTTCAGTTCTAAAGACCCAGATGTTTAGGCAGATTAACAAACACCTGAAGAAAACCTGAGAGTACAACAGTTGAAACGTTGTGATAATAACAATAATATTGAGAGCATATTAACTCTGCATCTCATTAATTAGTACAGAAATTTAATGTCGAGTTTTCAAAATGGAGGGTGCTGGAACTTTTACACAAATATGCTTAATAAATTCAGTACTGACTATGATATATAATACAATCCCTCAGTTTGAAACATTTCTTCATATTCAGATTCTTACAAAACGTATTTTTTTACTCTTCCAGACAGGAAAGTGTCACTGTCACCCAGGCTACTGGGGAGAGATTTGCAGGGACAAATGTCCTCGGAACCAGTATGGCAAAGAATGCAAGGGTCGTTGTATCTGTCCAGTTGAAACATGGTGTGACCACATCACTGGAGAATGTAAAAGGGATTGTCCAGCTGGCCGCACAGGAATGAAATGCGAGAAATGTAAGTTATTTGAAATGTGGAAATTTGAGCAGCATAAGTTCTTTTATATATAAGATGCATAAGTCCCTTTATTTGTGATAAAAGTTAAGTTCCTTTAATACGTGAGAAATGTAAGTTCCTTTGTATGCTAGAAATAGAATTTCTTTTAAAAGCAAAAAGCAGAAATTCTTTTATCGGTCTATATGTCTAAGATGAGTTATTATGATCACTTGCATTATTTACATTATTTGGACTGTTAACCTCATCTTCGTTACCATATTCACAATGTTTCAGCTGTTGTACACTCCAGCCTTCTTCAGGTGATTGGAATTTCAAACCAAACCCTTTATTTCATCCACCAGAGTAGATTGTTCTAGTTCCACATGCCAGGTCTCTTCTGAATATGGCAGTTATTCCCATTTAACTCAACTCTTCAAGTTTTTGGTTCATCACTGCTGTAGTCTGGTATTGAACTCACAACACTAGTCACTGGATTTAACCAATGTCTTTATCCAAAAGAGGTATAGGATGTAGAACTAGAACAATTAACCTCTGTGGATGAAGTAAAAGGTTCAGTTTGAAATTCCAATCACCTGAAGAAGTCCAGAGTGTACAGCGGCTGAAATGTTGTGAATATGGCAATGAAGATGGGGATAACAGTCTGAATAATGTAAATAATGCAAGTAATCATAATACCTCATCTCAAATATATAGACAGCTACTGAAGAAAAAATCCAATCACCTGAAGAAGGCCAGAGCATAAAACGGCCGAAACGTTGTGAATATGGCAATTAAAATGAGGATAACAGTCCAAATAATGTAAATAATGCAAGTAATCATAATACCCCATCTCAGAGATATAGAGACTGAAACATTGTGAATATGGCAATGAAGATGAGGATAACAATCCGAATAATGTAAATAATGCAAGTAATCATAATTCCTCATCTTAGAGATATAGAGGCTGAAACGTTGTGAATATGGCAATGAAGATGAGGATAACAGTCTGAATAATGTAAATAATGCAAGTAATCATAATACCTCATCTTAGATTTCCTTATCGTTGGTTCACATATTTTAATAATTTAGTAAATTTTTATAAATTTATCAATAAATCTTTTTCTTTCATATTTATTTCTTTATAAATTGATAAGTAATAAATATAGCATTGCATTAGTTTTAATTGTATTAGTTTTTAGGATGTTATAAATATAAAATTATTCTTGTAAATAAACAATCTAATAAATAAATACTGTTTAATACTTTTGTTGTAAGTGAAGTTTAGTTGTTTTGTTCACAAGGAGTGATGGTAGTTGTTTATAACAACATTAATAAAGTTGATTATGATTATGATGATTGTAAGCACTTCCTGTGCCACTAGGGAATTCTGGGAGCAAAACGTGTCAAGCGGCAGTTTGAATAAAATAGTTGTTAAGTTTATCACATATTGTGTTATCTTTTTGTTGCTTTAACTTTCCAGCAATCAGTCTCATATAAGTAATCTTTCCATCCTAATTCCAATCGAATAATAGTGTAAATAATAGCTGTGTTAAAGGCAAAAAAAACCTTCCTTTTGACACTCCATTTTTTTGTGAGCATGAAGGCACAAGTTTTTGCTAAATCTAGATATTAAAAATGGTTCAATATTTTCTCCACAAATATTTGATGTTTAAATATTGATTTTGTTTAAATATTGATTTTGTTTAAATATTGATTTTGTAGTGTGTGAAAGGGGAAAATATGGTCGTAATTGTGTCAAAAGATGTGAGTGCGGCAACAGTGGATGTAATCCAGAAACTGGCGCTTGCCTTTGCCAAGCAGGACGACATGGTAAACACTGCCTAAAAGGTAAGACAAAGAGATTATTTCTTCTCTATCCTGACAATATAGATAGTAAAACTGCAGTTATCCACCTATGCATTTGTAGATTATGAACTTTCCAAGCTATCGACATATTTAAAACTATTTCTGTAGTTACTGTGAAGGCTTCATCCATGTTTGAACACAATTATTCTAAATAAGTGGACTTGTGGGAAAATGAAATTAAACCAATAAAAAATTAATAATAAAAATAAAAAAAAAATTAATTAATTATTTTTACCATAATGCAAGTAATAAAGAAATCAATCTATTTTACAAGTTGTGGTAGATGGGCAAAATAATGGAAGTCACATAATTTTATAGACAGACAGATAGATAGATATAACCAAAGAGATAGATGTAAACAAACTGAGGTTCATAGATAGATAGATAGATAGATAGATAGATAGATAGATAGATATGACCAAAGAGACAGATATAAACAAATTGAGGTTCATAGATAAAATAGATAGATAGATAGATAGATAGATATAGATGACCAAAAGAGACAGATATAAACAAATTGAGGTTCATAGATCGAAAATAGATAGATAGATAGATAGATAGATAGATAGATAGATAGATAGATATGACCAAAGAGACAGATATAAACAAATTGAGGTTCATAGATCGAAAATAGATAGATAGATAGATAGATAGATAGATAGATAGATAGATAGATAGATAGATAGATATGACCAAAGAGACAGATATAAACAAATTGAGGTTCATAGATCAAAAATAGATAGATAGATAGATAGATAGATAGATAGATAGATAGATAGATAGATAGATATGACCAAAGAGACAGATATAAACATATTGAGGTTCATAGATAGATAGATAGATAGATAGATATGACCAAAGAGACAGATGTAAACAAATTGAGGTTCATAGATAGATAGATAATGACCAAAGAGATAGATATAAACAAATTGAGCTTCATAGATCGATAGATAGATAGATAGATAGATAGATAGATAGATAGATAGATAGATATGACCAAAGAGATAGATATAAACAAATTGAAGTTCATAGATAGATAGATAGATAGATAGATGTGACCAAAGAGACAGATATAAACATATTGAGGTTCATAGATAGATAGATAGATAGATAGATAGATAGATAGATATGACCAAAGAGATAGATATAAACAAATTGAGGTTCATAGATAGATAGATAGACAGATAGATAGATAGATAGATAGATAGATAGATAGATAGATAGATAGATAATGACCAAAGAGATAGATATAAACAAATTGAGGTTCATAGATCGATAGATAGTAAATATGACAATAGTAGATAGATAGATGTTGTGGACTTGTTAGGGTCAGAAATAAAGACACAAAAAGAGGAATTGAGTTAAACAAATATATTAACAGAAACGGTAATACAAACGAGAGTGTTGCAGCAAGAATGTTCGGTCCAACTATCTGATCTGACTGCTGGAAACTTTCCTCCTGAAAAGACAGTACCTGCTCATATGCATAGCTGGGGGAGTCCATGCATGCATGGGTAAATTAACATAACGGATAGATAGATAGATAGATAGATAGATAGATAGATAGATAGATAGATAGATAGATATGAATAGTCGACACTAGATAGATAGATAGATAGATAGATAGATAGATATGAATAGTCGACACTAGATAGATAGATAGATAGATAGATAGATAGATAATGAACAGTCAGTACTAGATAGATAGATACATAGATAGATAGATACATAGATAGATAGATAGATAGATAGATATGAATAGTCGACACTAGGTAGATAGATAATGAACAGTCAGTACTAGATAGATAGATAGATAAATATGAATAGTCAATACTAGATAGATAGATAGATAGATAGATATGAATAGTCGACACTAGGTAGATAGATAATGAACAGTCAGTACTAGATAGATAGATAGATAAATATGAATAGTCAATACTAGATAGATAGATAGATAGATAGATAGATATGAATAGTCGACACTAGATAGAAAGATAGATAGATAGATAGATAGATAGATAGATAGATAATGAACAGTCAGTACTAGATAGATAGATAGATAGATAGATAGATATGAATAGTCGACACTAGATAGATAGATAGATAGATAGATAGATAGATAGATAGATAGATAGATAATGAACAGTCAGTACTAGATAGATAGATAGATAGATAGATAGATAGATAGATAGATAGATAGATAGATAGATAGATAGATAGATATGAATAGTCGACACTAGGTAGATAGATAATGAACAGTCAGTACTAGATAGATAGATAGATAAATATGAATAGTCAATACTAGATAGAAAGATAGATAGATAGATAGATAGATAGATAGATAGATAGATAATGAACAGTCAGTACTAGATAGATAGATAGATAGATAGATAGATAGATAGATAGATAGATAGATATGAATAGTCGACACTAGATAGATAGATAGATAGATAGATAGATAATGAACAGTCAGTACTAGATAGATAGATAGATAGATAGATAGATAGATAGATAGATAGATAGATATGAATAGTCGACACTAGATAGATAGATAGATAGATAGATAGATAATGAACAGTCAGTACTAGATAGATAGATAGATACATAGATAGATAGATAGATAGATATGAATAGTCGACACTAGGTAGATAGATAATGAACAGTCAGTACTAGATAGATAGATAGATAGATATGAATAGTCAATACTAGATAGATTGATAGAAAGAAAGATAGATAAAAAGAAAGAAAGATATGAACTGTTTCAGAGAGATATGAATGGAATGAGATAGAGATGAACTATAGTAGATATATAGATATGAATAGTTGATACAAGGTAGATAGATTGATAGATAGATAATGAACAGTCAGTACTAGATAGATTGATAGATAGATTGATAGATATGAATAGTCAATACTAGATTGATAGATAGAAAGAAAGATATGAATTGATTCAGATAGATATGAATAGAATAAGATAGATACGAACAATAGATAGATAACTAATGTAAGATGTGTTGCATTTTTCTCTTGCTGCCATGATGACAAATGATCACTACTTTTAGTTTTTCTATTTTGGTTAGTGATCAGTTTAATGATTTTGTCATTCACTGAAATATCAGGTCATCCCATAAGTTCTGTCCGAATTTTAACTTTTTGTTAAAATGAACAAAATTTAAAGAGTATTTTATCATGTCTAATGGAGCTGAACATTATTTTTATGTTTAGATGCATTTAAACTGATCAAATTTTATTTCAGAGAACAATAAAATTAAATTTTGTTTGATTAAAACCCTGCTAACATGGAAGTACCCAAGAATCATTTGAGGCACATAATGCTTTATGAGTTCAAAAAAGGAAACTCAGCAGCCGAAGCGGCTAGAAACATTCATTCAGTTTATGGAGAGGAATGTGTGAATGAAAGAAGATGGTTTGCAAAATTCAGTTGTGGAGATTTCACCCTTGAAGATGAAGATCGAACCGGACGTCCAGTTGAGTTTGATGAAAAGCTTCTTGAAGCAGCCCTTGAAGAAAATCCTACTTTATCATTTGAGGAATTGGCAGTGGTTCTCAGTTCAAACCATACAACTGTTCATTGTCATCTTCAACAACTTGGAAAAGTTCCTAAACTTGGAAAATGGGTACCTCATGAATTGTCTAAAAACAACCTCAAATCCCGAGTTGACATCTGCTCTTCTCTTCATTCTTGCCAACTTGTTTCACCTTTTTTGGATAGACTTGTGACTGGCGATGAAAAATGGATCTTTTATTGAAATGCTAAGCATTATAGACAGTGGCTTCGTAAAGGGGAAGGACCCCAGCCACAGCCGAGAAGGGAACTTCATGGGCAAAAGGTTCTTCTTTCAATCTGGTGGGATCGCCAAGGAATAATCCACTTTGAATTCTTACCACCTAATGAAACAATTAATGCTCAAATATACTGTCAGCAATTAGAGTGTTTCAACCAAGCTTTGAGGAAAAAAAGACCAGCTCTAGTGAATCGAAAAGGGGTGATGTTTCATCAGGACAATGTGCGACCCCACACAGCAAGAATCACGGCACAAAACCTTGGTTGGGAGAAAATTCCTCATCCGACTTATTCTTTCGATCTTGCTCCTTCAGACTACCATTTGTTTCATAGCTTACAGAATCATTTGGAAGAAACAGCTTTTGTAATACAGGAAGAGGTTAAAACTGACATTTGGGAGTTCTTCGAATCAAAGCCAAAAGAATTTTACAGTAATGGAATTAGTAAGCTTGTTAATAGATGGAAGGAAGTCATAGATAATCAGGGAAAATACATTGTTGATTGAATCTGTAATTAAATGTAACATTTGGTCACTTGTTTTCTTTATTCAAAATTTCAACAGAACTTATGGGATGACCTGATAGTTCCAGTCTTTTCTCTAAAATCTATGAATGTTTTTTAAACAATTTTCTTTTTGTTTTTTCAGTATGTAAAGAAGGCTATTATGGCATTAATTGTCAATACCAATGTGAGTGTGAGAATAGTGCCAACTGCGATCCAGTTACTGGCCAGTGTATATGTAAACCTGGATGGTTTGGATTGAAATGTGAAGAAGGTAAGACTGGCGACTGCCTTTTGTATGAGTTTGACCAAGTAACATATACAAGGCTTTATTAGTGAATATATATTGGATATAATGTGGGTTTTGATGTGTTAATTGTGTGTTTGTCAGTAAAAGCTTTTTGGCAAGGTGGTAAGTAGGATAATTATTTTATTGGAAACTTTGTGAATAGAAACAAACTGATTCAAAGGTTTAAAAATAAATAACATTCTCTTTATTTTCTTTCGAGGGATGACTGAGTCCTTTGGTATTTGGTGTAGTAAAATGTTTGTTAATAAGGCCGATATTGGTAATAGTCTGACCATTAGTGGTCATGTTGAAGTAATACTATGATAGGGTTAGTAGCAATATCAGACATTAGTATTTAATAAACCTCTGCTTTGTTTTTCCTACCTAGTGTTCTGTTCCTTTAATACACTCTCAAACTATGACCTTCAAAATTCTCGGCTATTTTGAACAAAGTCAAGATTAAAACACTGATA